GTGTGATAAAAACCTGACAATAATGAATATTTATATGGAAAGACTCCTTTTCTTAAGGAAATACAGGATTAAAAAAAAAAAACACCCTACAACTCTTTAAATTCATTCTTATGACTGAGCCTGCCACGGCAAAATGAGTTAATTTACTTGAATCCAGTGGCTCTCGCTCTGTGAGAATTTTGCTATAAAACCAACAGGAAAAATAAACGTCTGTCTTTAGTGAGGAAGAGTTACAGCCGGTTCCAGGACAGTTTGTAAGCTGGCATTTATTCTGGCTATCTTTTCCATCGCTTCATGACCGCTGAAATCTGTCTACCCTCTTCTTCTCCTTTTGATGTTTTTGTTTCCTTTACTTCACAACTTCTAAACTGACTTGCACATCCAGAAGCTGCCCAGGGTAACATTTACCAAAGTTTTCATTCATCGTTTTTATACAACTGCTAAGAACGGTGAAAAATCACCAAACGTGTTTGACCCAGATTTAATTGCAATCTTGTCCTGGCAAGTTTCCTGTTGCTAACACTGAAGATTGATTACAGCTGCTGGTATGTGAAACCTGAAAGTAGATACATGCCTGGGCTTTTTACACCTGTTGGGTGCCTGGTCATTCCAAACAAGCACATATCGAGGAAATGCAAAATCCTCAGCGTCGACATGTGAAGAAACACTGGCATATGGTTTCCCTTAAATCCATTTCACTGCTGGCTGTATGAAATTTGGTTATTTTTGAAGTGTTTTCCTATTGAATCATTCAGAAAGCAGAGCTGTGGAAAGCGGAGCTGCGACTGTTGTGGAATTTGGGACAAAAGAGACCCATCAGCCAAAGCAGCCGGGTTTTGTGCACAAACGAGATTCCGCCTGTGAGCTTTTGTGGTTGCCGCTCGGGCACCCACATTTAAGAATCTGACCCTGCAGTTTTATGATTTAGTTTGACAATAAACAGTGTAGTGAGCTGAACTCATCAATTAGTGGACAAGTCAACAAGCAGCGTAAAATATATACTGGTCGCTTTGCAGCGCCGATGGAGAGTTGTTTTACCTTTATCACTCACACTCTGTGGTTACTGCAGAAAAAATGTGCAAAGCCGAATAGCCACTGGTGGGAGGGAGCCTTTTCCTGGTCTAATTTTTGTTTAGCTGGAGTTATGTCTGAAATGGCTGCAGGAATGTAGGAAAAAGCAGGATTGAGGCAAAGAAGTATCGTCATGCGAAGGAAAGCTGGACCGCGCTCCGAGTTTGTATACAGGAGACGCTTTGTTTTGATCTCCCCCTAAATGTCATTCCTGTGTTTATAAATATACTGAGGAAAGGGCTATTTATGTCATTTTTTTTATAAAATCCTTCCTGTAAACATAGATATTGGGCCATATTCCTAGGTGCTGCGTAAGCCGGGGTATGGTACACCCGGATAAGCCAGCCCGCAAAGACCAAGGGGATTTTCTTGGAAGCTCGGCACGAAGCGCCGAGGCGCTGTGGGATGGCAGGCAGGTTCGTCAGGTGCTTCTCCTCCGCCCGCCCCTCTCTTGGCTTCGTTTCACAGCGTGCAGCCCACCTCCGAATTGGTGCTGTCACTTTTGCGCGGCCGAGCCGCGAGAGCCCACGTTACAACCAAAAAAAGATCGTTAACGGGGAATATTCGGCGCTTCCGCGCGAGCCTGCTTGGAGCCCGACTGATGCGTGCTTTAGGGTTCGTGAGCTGTCTGCTTTCAGCCCTTAGTCATGCGCTGTTTTGCTTTTCTTGTGCCGTTCCTCCCGATTTCCGAGCCCAGGTCTAGAGGCAGCACGTTGCATGTGGCGGCGGCTTGCTCGGGGAAGAGCTCGCGGTGCCGGAGGAGAGGAGAGAGCCCACGCGGGGAGGTGGCGGGCGGCGAGATGAAAGAAGGGAACGAAACCCTTCCAGGGAAACGGGGAGAGGAACCGCGCCGGAAGGGGAGACAAGGTGGTGGGAATCCTAAAATAGTGGCGGTACATAAAGGCAGCTCAGCGTAGCAGGCGGTCGCAGAGGATGCAGGAGGGGGCTTTTTCATCGTCTCTTTTAAGACAAGAACCCATGTAATTTTTCCCAGGTAGGACTCTTAACCATGCAGCGGTTTGGATGTGCTGGCATCGTGGTCTCGCTGGTGAGGTTGTCCTTTGTGTTTTCGCCTATCCCGTGGGAAACTTCTCCCCGCCGGTGAAGGTGCTACGTGTGATACCTGTCCAATGAGTGAGAAGGAAGTGCGCTTATAAGTTCATGTGATCTTGCTGTAGGTGTCTAAAATACTTAGTTTTGACTTCGATGCAGATTTCTGAGGGGAAAGAAAAAAATCTGTTGCGCTTGCCTTGTAGACTCTAGAACAGCAAGTAGGGGGAAACAGTTGATTTTATTTAGAAAAGAGCAACAGAGCACGTGATGAAGAGACTCGACGCCTCTTGCTGGGCCCTGCTGATTACTTGAAAAAGTCTGCGGCTTCGTTGCCGCTGCCGAGTGGCATCGGCGTGCGGCGGCAGCGCGTGGCGTCGTCGGGCTGACGGCAGGCGTGGGCTAGCGCGGGCGCCGGTGGGCGACGGGGAAGGTCCTGTCCGCAGGCACAGCCCAGAGGCCAAACCCGGCGCCCGGAGCAGAGCAAAGCGCCCGGGACTCTTAAAAATGTCGTGAGAAAGCAGAATAGAGAAATTACTGTAAATTAAATACCGCGAGGCAGTTGGTTTTTTAAAGCCAGGCGTTACACCTCCTCGAGGTGCGTCAGCGTAATACATCTGTTGCGCGATCGACGCGCACGCCGCTTTGAAACTGCAAGAAGCCTGCTGCATGTTTTATTAAAGCGATGGTATACTGCCTTTGATGTTATTTCCTCTTTCTAACCTGGCTGTTGGCTTTCTGCATTAGTATACCGCAGGTATGTGGAAGCATCAGACCTAGTTTTTTTCTTCCCTGCCCATCTTTAATCTGAAGGTAGTTATTTTAGCATTAAGTCTGACATTCAGATGTCTTTTCTGAAAACCTCTGCGATTTCTTTATGGTCATCCTCTGATAACTCGCATTAAACGTTTGTAAGAAAATGCTCCCAGGCCTCTAGCCGCCGTTGGCCAGGAGAGCGGGAAGGGTTGGGAAGGGGTGTGCAAGGAGGATGAGGTGGGTCCTCCTGCCTCGGTTCCTCTGCCTTCCCGTTGACCAGAGCTGGGAGGTCTGGGCTGGCCCACCTCTCCCCCATCCCTCCATCCGTCGAGATGTTTGGAAAGGCCCTTGCCCCGTTGCCTCTCGCCCTGACCCCCCTTCCCTTGGCTGACGCGCAGGAGATGCGCTTGCGGGATGCGGAGGGCCTGGGGTCGAGGGGGATTTGTTTTCCCCCCTCGCAGGTTGAAACCCTCAGGTTGCGTTTCTGCCCGACTTCCAGCACCCTCAAGGGATAGCTGATGTGGAAACAGTAAGGCCGAAGAAGCTAGCATTAGGAGAAGTGACACGGCAGGTTGCCACAGCGCGCAGCTGGCGTCCGCTGGGCCGGCCGGCCGTATCGGAGCCCTTCGTTCCCTTCAGACGCTAAGAGGCGAGGGGAGGTGCGGCGTCCACGTGAGGGCGGACCGAGCGCCAGGCCCCCCGCCGTCCGTCCTC